CCGTCTATCTTTAACCACCTCCTGGAAAGACAGTTCATTGATACCGGCCAGTTCAGCACAGGAATTTGTTTGATGTGCTTAAGAGATTGGTAACAATAGCTCCTAACATGACTGCGTTGCAAGGCGAGCGCGTGTTTCCTTGGAGACAGTGGATCCACACGGCTCCAGCCAGGATCCCAGCGGGTTTCCTCTCTTCAAAGGATGTAGAACTACCACTCTCTACAGGGGAGAAGATGGGAAGATAAGCGCAGACTGTAGACAAATAGCCTCATGCAAGATGTGAGGATTTTATGCAACAGCAAGACATGTCTGAAAGGTAGGAGGGTGAAAGAAGATAAGTAACTGTAGTCATTGCACAGCTGGCTTGACACACTTTGACAACAAAGATAGTGTTACAGGATTGAGTATCTTTTTAAAATGTACCAAACTGTGTTGCTGATGGGGAACGCTGTGCAATGAAAACAGAAAAACAAAAGTTTGGCRTTTTTTTCTTGGTGTGAGTGGCTAAAAACTGAAAGATGAAAGATGTCTCCACAAAAATATATTATTTATTATAAACTGGTGCAAAAGGCACATTGAGAAGTGGAATTTGTGTACTTGCAAGGTGTATCTGAAGAGCTGCATGGGGTTTTAGTAATAAATAGTGATAAATATACCAGAAATTGATAGATATATGTGATTATACTGATTATGTTAATAACATCTCTTTTGGGGCAGTTTTATGACACATAAAGCAAGATAACTGATGATAGATTTGACAGCGAGGGTACACTGTAGCCATAACTTTACAGGTGTGTTTGTCGTTAAAATATGCTCAAAAGGACTGCTTCAAAATATTACATAATGTCTCATAAAACTCCTATAAAAATAATCAAAAGGTAGTAGAGCATGAAAACACTAAATCCTCTCCTGTTCTAAAACCCCCTGCTATGTAGCAGTGAATTGTGCGCCGCAAGAAGAAAGCTCTGCCCAAATTCTGGATTTCCTGGCTTTTACACTATGTGTACAAATTGGATTTGTGCCTTAACCCTGTGATGCATTTCTCCTCATTAGCTTTGGCACAGCCAGTTGGCTGAGACAGCATAAATAGCTGGGTCTTTGTGTCTTGTAAGCAAACAACTGTTTGTGGAGGTGGTTTGGACAGATTCGTACCAGCTCTCTTGGAGCCTGTGCAAAAGCAGCAGCTCGTACTTGGGTGTAATAACTCTTCATTTTGGAGTTTTTATCTTGCCTTATGTAGTTTACCTATTTTTTTTCAAAGGTGATCATGAAATTCTGCAGATTTGATACCTTTGGAAGGATTCCCATTTTTCGCTTCCATACTTTTAGGACTCAAAGAACTTGGRGCGCTTTGCTGCGAAATACCAAGTTGACCATATTCCCACTGAGGTCAACTGTCGAAGGGCTTTTCCATCCCCTGTGCCTTTTCTTTCAGAGGAGTTTGAAGCTGTTTTGGGTGCCAGAGGAATTCTCACCCTGGATCTCCCCAGGAGGTAGTGCAAGTATTACTCATTCTGAAGACTGGTGCTCCCAGAATTGTCAGGGACATTTCAGATGCTCAGGGCAAGTAGCTGTGGCTCAGTGAGCTAAGGCTGCTTGGGCTGTGGAGTCATGAAAATAGCTACTRGAAGTTAGGCCAGACTGCTCAAAACTGGGGCAAAAACCTTTCAAATTCCAGTTGCAAGAGTTTAAGCAGTTGTTTCTGTCTCTAGCTCTCTTCTGGTGAGATTGCATTTGCTCTTTGCCATAAGGCAAAGCTCGGCATCTGCAGTAAGCTTGAACATGTTTCTATATTGAAGCTGCCGGTCATATCAGGAGAAGGAAGGCTTAACTGATAATCTTTTCTTAAAGGACAAATATCTTAAAAATGCATGCAGGAGAAGCATTTGTCACTCAGAATATCTTTGGCTGATACAGCTTCAGAAGCAGCAGCASCACAGGAGCTTTTCAAAGTATTTCACTGGCTTTTAATATATTCTGCTGTTCAAGTCAGCRGGACTCAAGTGTACTTGCACTGCAGTTTGAAAATTTTCAGCATTTTGTTGCCTGTGAAAGTCAAGATGTTGATATATTTCGCTGATACACAACTGACACTGACATCTTGAYATGTGTAATTTTTATTAGTGAAGTTTGTAGGAGTGCATAACTTTAAGACATGGCTGTGTATCTCATAAATCATATTTTGAAAAATGCAATAGCTCTTATATTCTCATATCTGCCAGTTTACAAAGTATTTCAGCCACTTAATTCTCCACTCTAACTTCCACTGAGGAAAAATTACAAAATATATTGGGTTAGTCATGATTACTGTCACTTACCCCAGTTATCTGTACTGGCTCCACTCAAGCCATATGCATCACTCTGTATTTCAAGGTGCTAGCAAAGATCAGCTTTGTGTAATGTATTTTATTTTCTGGTTTGCTTTCAACAGCGAATGACTCCTTTGAGTTTTTTGAAGTGGTAGGAAATCCTGCTGTTTCAGAGCACCCTTTAGGTACTGAAGGTGGGATCCTCCTCACCAAATTTCAGATGCCTAAAAGTGGTGTCTGTTCCCAGGGGAGCCAGGGACTCCTTCTGCAGACAGTGCAGGGTGATGTCCTCAGCCTGTGCTTCACTCGAGCTGCAAGTGAGGGATGTCGAGGCTGGCCAGGGTACATGGGTACCTGGATATGCTCTAATAGAGAGGGACAAGACAACTTGCCAAGCCTGGATATGCAAACTTGTCAACTCCAGCTAGGTGAGAAAAGTCCTTTCAATGTCTATTGTTGATTTGATAATTCTCAATTTTTGTATGTGGATTAGCAGTGACAAAGCTGTGCTCAGTGCCAGCTAGACTGAGCGCCGGCTTCGGAAGTGAAAGCCAGTCACGTGCAAGACTTTTCCCCCGCTTATGATTTTAAGTTAAAAGACATCATAGATTCCTCCCTGAGAAGGGAGAGAGTGGAGAAAGGCTATTGTCACAGTGGGTTTCCATTACTGAAATTAATTCTTCTCTCATAAGAATTTAGATCTATGATTTATGATAGCCACCAATTTCTCACTGYAGGCAAAGTGAGAGGAAATGACTCAGCCTGGACAGACCTCATGAATCTATTTTTTTTCCCTAATGGCTGACATAATCTAGCTTGCTGCTCCCAGAAGTGTCATTGGAGATTCATATCCTGCCAAAGGGCCTCACAATCGAGGTGGAAAATTTTGTTACTTTCATGTATTGTGTGATCCGTAATTGTTTGAAATTGTATCCTGCCTCATTCATTGCAGTTTCTTTTACATCAATTCTACAGCAAAATAGTGAAGGAAACAAAGCAAGAGAGTGAAAAGCAGTCTTGCACTTACTCCTTGAGAAAAATCTTTCCTGACATAAGGTTGGGGTCCAGCTGGTGCTTTTTAAACTCAGATAGATAGTTCTGAGATGAAACATCCTTCCTTCTGTCTCCCCTTCCGACAGAAATCTCACACCCCACCTGGCTTCACAAGTTCTGTCTTTCACAGGCTGTTTCGGAATCTCATATTCCAGTTTCCAGCACTGATGCAGAATTTTGCAAGTTGGCTTCGCGAAAGGCCAGTCGAAATCATGTTAAATGGTTGAACAGAAATATTTTAGCCCTCATTTCAAGGAGATAGGCGATTGTATGCATGTCACAGTAGAGGAGGCTGGTAGGAAGTTAAGTTTTGATGTGTTTTACTACAAACAGTAGTTTGAATGCATTCTAATAAATTGCTTCCAAAGGATAATGGATCTTCTTATGAAATATATAAGAATTCCTGTGTATTTCTGATGTAGCCCTCTGATGTGACCGCATACAACATACAAGAATGCAGAAGCCAAACAAATTTCAAGACAGTACAAGTCAGGACTCTCAGTATGCACTGAGCAAACACAACCCCTCTTTTCCCAGGGTTGCTGCATGACTGCCCACTGATTCTGGCAGCATGCACGCATGGAAATGGGCTATTTGCCTCAAAATGACCTCTAAAAATGTCTAACTCAATAACTGTGTATTCAGGTACATGATGAGCAGGCTCAGCTTCCTTTCAATCACCTGCGGCTTGTTGTGGCTGTTCTGACCCCATAAGAAAAACATAAAGGAGGAAGGGAGGAGTAGTCCCATATGTCAGAACTGGTCTGTGCAGTCGATTTGCACTTCCAGGTGAAAGCCAGTCAAGATGTATTATGTGGTTTTGATAATACTGAAGAAAAGCAAAACAAAATCATAGGATGTCCATTTGTTATTGTTTTCTACTAACTCCTCAATCTTGAGCTCTATAGTATGTTCCATTAATCTTGGCTTTTATATTCAACATGAAACTTTCATCACTCCCTTCACTACAGATTTTTTAAAAAACACTTTTTTATTCTCCTTTTCTACTCCTGAATGTAGTTGTTTTAATCATACATTSTGACAAGCCCTCATGAGCTTGTACAGTAAAAGGCAAATTATCTCACTGGATGCATACTCTTACTAATATTTTTTTTTCTTTTTCTTTTTTTTTTCGTAAAGAAGTCCAGGTAAATTTCCAATTTGTAGCTGCCAGCTTGTGAGTTATTCAATATSTCTCAAACACAATTGCAGAAATTGCAGCATGTGAAGTATATATGATAGACAATTGCAAGTGCTCTAAGGTACTGAACTGCCAGAGCACACAGCACGTGCTTTGCAGGTTCCATCCAGAGAGGTTTAGCTCTTCTTTGGAAGAAGAGCTATTCCACCAAAACTTACTAAAAGGATTGACATAAATGTATCTATAAGGCAGTGATTGAAGTGTGTTTTGTTACAAACTGGATCCAGAAAAGCAGGGCCATACAGTATAGAGGGGAGCATATCGTGCCACCAAAAAAATTCAATTCTTCATCACCTCTAAAACAGAAATCTTCTAAAAAATTGGCAGTGAGTTCCCATTTCCAATGTTTGGACATATCTGTCAAATCCTATGCATAAATAAATGGTATTTTGATGAATGGTCCCACAAAGGGACTGCTGGAGGGGATTGCTGTATCGATGGTGCGACCTCAGAATCCTGTGGCTCTTTCCCAGTACTGTGTCCTGCCCCCTTGATACTCCTTGTTTCCTGCTCTTAAAAATAGTTTGCATTTCTTGAAGCAGAATGAGAATCTATTAGTGGTTTAACTCCTTTCTAGTTCCTCAGGTCTGACTACAAGCAGTGAAAGATTCTGCGAGTCCTGTTTGTGCTCCTGCTGCATCCTCCGGGATCCGCACAGCGTGTTGCCCGCTTCCTCACCCCMCAGAGCACTCATCACACAGAACCGGGACCCAGGGCTGTCTCACCCAGTAAGTGTTTCTCCTACCAGTCTGATCCCAAAGGTACAGAACAGAAATGCAGAGTATCGAAGGTGAAATGACTTTCTCAACTTTAAAAATGGGGTTTTGCTTCCCTTTATCTCCAAAGCTCGACCAGATTATGAGCATGGTTATATGATGTCAGTAGTGGCAAGGGCCTTGATTCAGTGGCCTCAGGAGGCCTGAGCACCCACAGAAGGGCAGCTCTTCTGGGTGTGAAACAAGTGTCACCTTTCCCACATATTGCAGGGAGAACTGGAGCTTCCTGCTCCTCTCCATGAGAGGAGCCCCGAAATAAACCGGGAGACCGATGCCCCGAAAATAAAGAACAGATTTTAGTGGGAAGGCACAGTGGGCAGAAACATTATGTTCTTGCCTGACGTGGCAGGTTTGCTGTGTTTAGATTTCATGCCTGAATTTCATTCAGGATGTTGTCTGAAGTTTGGCCYGAAGTTTGGGTTTACATGCATATGCATACACAAATGTGTGCCATTATTTCTATACATCATTTTGCTGTTTACCAGATGGTATTAAGGCAGAAAACATTGTGCAAGCATGTATGACTATTATTTGTATTGGGGTATGGCCAAAAATATGAAAAAAAAAATGTTTTGCCAAAAAAWTTTTTTTTCTTGTCTTTCATTTTTGCTTCTTTAAGCTCCCTTCAGATTCCTTCAGGTATCTCAACTGGTGTGACCTAGAGGGTCATGATGTTCGAGGAAATCAGCTCCTTTGTCCCCGAGTAAGAAAAGGTAAAGATGAAAAAGACTGTTCATGTTAAACCTTTCTCTATTTGTCTATGTTGTTAAATGTTAGAGATGAAATCTGAGTCTGCTGTTGTTTTGAAAGGCACAGAGTTTCATCCCATATTGCACATATTTACTTTTTTCAATTGCTATTCAAATATCCTTAAGCAAAAACTGTCATTTTAAAATTTTTGCAGTTTATGTGGTGTTTATTATCTCTCCCAAAATTTCATTAACATTTAAATAGTGTTCAGAACRTTATACATAAATGTCAAATAAGAAACTGAGAGTGAAATCCAGTCCTGTAAACATTTTAAACCTGAATTTTATTTTATTTTAAACCTGAATTGGCCCAAGAGTAGCCTATAGGAGTCCTCAAGATTGTGGAATGAAAGATTGTTCAAAATAGAGTATTTGCATGTGTGAGATTAAATGGAAAAAGAGTCTTACATCGTCCTTCCTTTAGCTGGGAACATAAATATGTGTATAGCTCTAAGCATTTCAATAGATCCATCGACTTTAAGTCCTCAGCGTTTAAGTCCTTTGTTTTGAATATTCTGAGTTCTGGAGGAAATATCACTTTCTAAACATGTGCCAAATCGTTATGAGTAATCTGAGATTATTTGCTGCATTATGGGCTCAGGACAGGTAGAAAATCTTCACATTAGTTTACCTCATAGAAGCCTGGACATATATGCAATATATGCAGCTAAAATATTTTTTATATATATATATATATATATACACATACACACACACATTTTTATATATATATAAATATATATATATACATACACACACACACACACACACACACACATATATATATATATTTCTTTATTTCAGATATCTTCCCAGCCATATATATAATATTTCAGCAAGTAATGAAGTGCCAGTTCCGGACTGCCTCCATTATTATAATTCTTTTTTTCTGAGCAGGACCGTCAGAAGAAGAGCTATTCTTCAGGGGAGAAGAACATACTTTGAAAAAAAGAAAACAAGTAACTGAAACAGAAAAATGGCAAAAGAAACTGCAAGAGAACTGGGAAAACTGTGCTGTAAAACTTTCGTTATCTCTTTCCATTTACTCTTTACTTTGTAAATAAGCCAAGTATATAGTGCAGGTGGCTGGAGACTGTTTTCAGTTTTCAAGCTGAAGTTAGCACCATGACTTATGTTATAAAACAAAATGTTTTTACAAGCCTTAAACAAAGAGTAAACTGCTGTCTTGTGACATGGATTCATTTGTGCTTGGGCATGTAAGAACTAGTCAAGTGTCCTGCCTTCTTAGTGATTTCCATGAATAAATTGGTAGTAAGTGGGTGGTTTGGGAACAGCTTAGATTCATGTTAGCTCTTCCAGTCTCTCCTCATACCAGCCTGAGCAGCCTTGTTAGTTTTGGCTGGAGGAGCAACATTACTCCTGGTTCTGGTCACCAATAAATTATGACCTCCCTAAGATCAAGGGAGGTTTGGAGTGCTGGATTTCAGTGGTAGCTGGATCTGTCTCTGCCTTTGCATAAATACCCAGCACAGAGTGGAGGAACCCTGATGCCTGCTCCAGGACCGAGAGGCCAAATCAAAAAGCCTCAGCCACTTAGTGCCTCCTTCTCCAGCCAGAGCACACAGAGCACAGTCAAAGAGTAAGGCTGGCTTGGSAGCAAGGTTCACAGGCTTAAGGAATGACTTAGAAAAGCTTTAAAAGACCATGTGGCAAAAAAAATGCATAAGTCATGAGAGGAAAGACTTTGCTGAAGAACAGAGGGAAAAAAAAAGGAAAGAAAACTAGAATGACATTTCCAGATAGAGCCTCACACAAATAACTGTCATTTGAATAGGAAAATACTAGGTTTTTCTACTGTGGCTCTTCAGAGTAACCTCATTTTCATAGAAATAGGCAGTGCATTGCTAGAGTTGTAAAGTGAATTTGACATGACTGCTTTTAAATGGATTTAAGAGGAGCATAATAAGATAGATTCATCTTTCAACTTGTTCTGACATAGAAAAGATTTAATAATATAGTTACCAGAATCCAATAAAAAGAWATGATTTCTTTTACATTTCCCTCCCCAGGAACTGAACCTCTCCTATCAGGACCTGGGGGACATTTACCAAGTGGAAAACCTCAATAGGATTCTCCGAAGATTAATTCGTGTGGAAAAGCTTTGGTTGGTAGACAATTCTTTGACAGATCTCAGTGCCATAAGGCTGCCAAGGTAAACAAAAGAAAAACGCCAATTCTTACCAATGTCATAGAAATAAAAGTTGTTGCTTAGGTAGTGTCTGGAGCAGACCCTTGGGAACAGCCAAATATGATATTGCCAAATACAACTATGCTGTTATACTGCTGTTATACTGCTATTCTGAGTTCATGTCGTCCCCAAGTTGAAAAATATTCAGTAAGGTAGACAGATCATGTCCCTTGTCCTCTTGGTGTTTCATGCATCTCATCAAACTAGGGGTTTGGGGTTGGACTAGATGGGGTTGGACTAGATGACCTCTGAGGTCCCTTCCAACCTTAAGCATTCTATGATTCTATGAAACTCTGTGATATTCTCTGAACCACTGAACTCAGCTRAAGGACTGTGTATGCAGAGATGGTGGAATATGGGAATGGGAGTAATTAAATATTCATTGTATAATATAAAGAAAACTAAGGGTATAAATTATAGGGGTCTTTAGCAAAATAAGCTAAGTGTGAAACTAATGGGAAAACAGGTGTGCTGTGTTCCCATCCTTTTGTTGATTTAGAGGGGTACACTGTTGTAGATGTGGTCAGTGATGTCATTTGCTTTATACTTTACAGATGCAAAGAACTGAATGTCAATAAAAATCACTTTACATCCTTCAAACAGTTGCCAAAGATACCTCAGATCCAACACTTGTCACTGTCTGAAAATAACATTATGTCGCTAAGTGGAATATCAGCCTTGAGACATACTCCTCTTGAATCCCTTACACTCAAGAGGAATCCCTGTGAGTTTCAAGAAAACTACAGGCAACTGTAAGTTTTACCATCTCATGCTCAACAAAACTATACAAAAAGAAATGTTTGTGGGGAAGAAGATGGAATAGGATCTCAATTACACCAACCTCTCCCAGGCAGCCTTTTTGTTTTCCCACTGTACCAACCATCATAAAGGCTTTAGAAAAAAAATGATCTTTCAAGCTGATGTGTGAGAACAGGCACAGAATCCTCAGAAACTGCCTAGGAGTCTCTGTAATGACATGAATGTCTGTTCGGGAACTCAGCCAAGCTAGAGACATTGAGTAGGATAGATAAATTAGATCCCCTTTTATTAATAGAAGTTACCTTTTACTGAAACTCCCATCAGCCTCATTACATCACTCATGGATTCTGAGAGGAGTCTAAATTACATTAGGTGTCAGAGACAGAATCAGAAGGAAGTGTTGAAAGATGGGAGAGAAGCAAGAGAAATCTATTACCTTAATTTGCTTTTCTGATACTCAACAAGAAAAATGTATTTTGGCTACGTTTGAACCTGCTGCTTGTTTTTTTGGGTTTCTTTTTTTTTTCAATGTTTATTTTGATCCCAGCATTGGGAATAAACTTCTGATTTTTTTTTTTTTTTATTTTTATTTTGTCTCTCTTTAAGTGTGTTCTCCAGTTTGCCAAACCTGAAAACACTGGATGGTGTCCCACAACTGCCAGAGGACTGTTCACCTCCCCAAATGAATTTCCTTTCCAAACTATGTATTATACTGTAGCACTGTATTTTTGGATCATCGCAGATATGCTGCAATCACCTTATCTAAAAGCATCAGTACACTCTGTGTACACAGATTACCTTTTTTTGTGATCAAAAAAGTATGGAATCAGAAATATTCTAATTCTTTTGCATATGCTTGCTGATACTACAGAATTCGAGTAAGTATGAGTAAGTGACATTTAAATAAGGCATGATATGTATGCTGAGTGTTATCAGTTACTGACTCCCATTGAATCCACCTAAAATGTGTCCAACCTCAGACCACATGTCCAGGTCAGGAAATGATTCAGGGATAAAACCAAACCAAAATAACAACTACTGAAGAACAAGCTGTTCAGTTCCCTTCTTTTTGTCCCACAAACATCCTAATGCTCTTTTGTGGTTTTGTAGATAGGAAAATCAGAGCCACTCATTATTTTGACCTTTAGAAAATAAAGAAATAGTGGAGAAAGTTCTCATTTGGGAGTTTTGCTCATTGCATTTGGGATGTCTGGAGAGCACGGGGGACAGGTAAATCATGAAGATGAAAGACATCTTTCAGGGAGTTGCTAGCATTGTTTAGGAGGGCCTTAATGCTACTTAAATAGTCCTCAAACAAAGGCAACAAGGAAGAAAAAGAGCTGTGGAAGCGGAAAAAGCTCCCCAGGAGACCTGAATGCAATTATCTTTGAGCACTATCCGTCCCTTTTTGATTCATTTSCTGTTCAGTTTTAGCCTTTTTGCAGGCAGCTCTTGCTGGCACACAAATAGCTATGTYGCTGATGGTTTAGGAGAAGAATGACAGTGTCTTGGAAAATGAAGACGATTAACAACCTTGCCTAATTCCAGAGACAATCAATAACTTCTCTGATGTGTATGGGCTGCTGGAGCAGTTTGGTTCAGTTAAACAAGGAGGGCGAAGGAACGCTCAGCACTGCAGAACTCCACGGTACAGTGATTTCCCTGCAGAAAGGCTGTAGAAGCTCAGTATAATGTGATGTGCTGCACTGGGAAAAGAGAAATCATCAGCTTGAAAAGCTTCCAGGGACCCTGTACTGAGTGTCCTTTCCTATCCCAAAGGTTAGCAGTCATAGTACTTAGCAAAATACTGCATGAACTACATCAGATGATCTTGAATTTATAAAGTATGTAGCTCAAAATGTATTCTACAGCTGTGGAAGGAGAGAGACTGTGAACTGCTGCAAATTGGGGTCAGGTTTAGGGCTCACACCCAGGAAACAGTCTTGAATGATCCATCAACTCAGACTGTTCCTTACCCAGACACAGATGTTCACGTGCTCACAGGATTCAGTAACTACATCTAGGCAGTATTGCCAGTTCCAAAAAATGGGAAGAAACCAAGCTGTGACCACCCTCTCCATAAATGCACTACAGAATTGAAATAATACTGTTCAACTTCAATCTGCATTCAGCTTTCAGTCAGAGAAAAATATAGGTCATGCAGACACGACAAGGCAACCAGAGGCTTGAAACAGAAAAAGTGGAACACTATGTGCTCTGCTGTGTGGCAAACTGGCCCAAAAGAACAATCTTATGAGGGAAATTGGGAGCAGAAAAGCTGGAAGCTTTCTGAGGGAAATGGCCTGTATTCTACCTCTGAGAAAGAAATTAATACAGAAATAATATATGAGTAATCAAAAAATGTAGCTATTGTATTTGGGAATGGGAAGGGTAGAAACAAGGGTGAAATGTATGCTTCTTGATCGAGGGAGTATGTGAGGAAACACCATCTCAGATGTAAGGCTGGGAACAAAAATAGGATGTAAACAAGATTTTAAAATTTTGATGGATACAACAAGTAGCTGAACACTGACTGTTGTGGGGCTGCTCCATCTAGAAGCTTTAAAAGGAAAGTCTTTTCAGAATTTATAGACAGTAAAGAGCATTCAAATCAGCACTGTTCAAATTACCAGCAAAAACAATTGGGGTCTAGGCTGAATTTTTCTACTCTCATTCCAGGATTTGGCAAAATGATCCCAGGAGGCATCAGAACCAATGCCAGGGATTTGAGATGAAGTGCACTGAATTTCTTCACCTTGGCCATCTCATTGGGATGCTTTTTAGGGTGTTAATTGCATTCTGCATACAACACAGACCACCAGTTGTGCTTTCTGCTTCCCATTCCTACAGAGACAACATACTCAACATTCATAAATCACATTTTTAGCAGTGTCTGGGAGCAGGAAAGGGAGTTCTGCAGTCCCCCTGCAGCATGATGGAGACGCTGATCGCACCTTTCCTCAAAAATATTTTCCACACCGAGAGATCAGAAAGTGTGACCGAGCTGGGAAATTCCCTTATCCTCTGAGCAGATATTTCAGTTGCAAACTCCTAGTGAAGCTCCCACCCACTCCTCAGTGTAGTCTGTAATTAGCAACTGGTTCATTCTCTCCTGAGCTCACTCTCCAAGGCTTTGCTCGCATAGACCTGATTGCTGGATAAGTATTAAGGAAGGGGGATAGACTTTGATTTATTCTTTCCTGACAGAAAGTTGATTCTACTCATAATTTTTCCTTTCATTGTCTTAACTCTGTGACTTTGGAATTCCAGCAAAATATCAGGCAATATCTGGGGAGCCTTGCTTTTATTTAAAGTGCATCCAAGAGCAAGACCGTGCTGGCAGTGTTTTAGCCACTTTGCTGCAAAGAGGTTTAAATGAGATGTTCACTCTCAGCAGCGTCACACGGGACACTGGCAAGAAAGAGCAATTAAGTTCCAGCTGTTTGGCTGGACCAGAGCCATAAGCCCGAGGAAGCCGCCTGGATACATTTCAACGTTCCCACTCAGCTAGAAACRCCAGCAGTAGGAATCTGCTGAAATGGGCCTGCAGTTCATGTGAAACCAGGGACAAATTAATGAACTTTGGGGTTTCAAAATTAGACTATACGTATCTAACTTTCTTTTCCTGCCAAAATTGCTTTCAGCTTCACTTAAGACATTTGTTTTGAGGGAAACTCCCTGCTTTTGTCATTTCAACCTTTGTTGCATCCCTGAGAATGCAGTGCACCCACTTTGTTAGGGCACAGGCAGGAAGAAGGAATCACCAGCTTTGCTATGGAGTTAAGAGGTTATTTTGCTGTTCTCATCTCTGAAAGATGGGTTTGGGACCAAGGCAGYATTACAGTCAGGAGAAACAGCTGTCCCAAAGCAAGAAAGGAAGGAGATGAGGCAAATTACTCATGAGTTCTACTTCCTTGCAATTGCAATTATGTTATAGAGCAGTCTAATCTAAGCCTAATTTATGACTTGAGGAAAATCTGGAAGAAATGGAACAAAAGTAAAGCCTTGCTTTTGCTGTTGAGATTCGCTGATTGTGTTTATGCTCTAAAATACAAAACAGTAACCACTACTAGTCACAAATGCAAGGAGCACGTTATGATAAAGGGCACTTCGGGCCTGTTTACCTTTCCTGACTGCTTAAAATCAAACACTTGCTGCTCTGTGTAAAGCAGCTTTCAATCCCTGCCACTTAGTRTTTGCCATTTGCTAAACAACCTTCCACGTTTGTGATGATTTCCCTGCTATCAGCACGAGAGGAAAAAATGAATGTAGTGAATGCACTGATTGATGTTTTCATCTATTTGAATACATGTATGAGACACACAGAGGCACACTGGCCGGAAGCTTGGGTGGAAATAAGCTATTAAGATGTCTCAGAGCATTCATTTTTCATTTGTAATCTATCATGCAGGATATATTTGCTTTGGAATTGCTAGGTTCCGAGCAGCACTGAAAGCATCGGAAGATAAGGGAAGAAGGCCAYAGAAAACATATGCTTTGGATAAAGGCAGCTATAAAAATAAATGCACTGATCGTAACAGGGACGTGTCAAGCAGTGACAGTGACAAATTGGGAATGACCAGAAAGTTCATGAATAGTCAAATGACATGAAACTGCACAGTCAGCCTGGGGGACTGGAATACAAGCCAAGTTTTTCTTTTCCACACCAGTCATTTTATTTTTATTACATGTTAATATATTAACAGTACAGCACAGTTGCTGCTCTGTGTAGTCCATTTTCTTTATAATAGATCATTAAAATTTACTCTTTTTGACCCGAACACTGAGTTGGTCTATGGATGCTCCTATGAAGAGCCACAGATGATGAAGTCAGATTTTGCTTTGACACCATATTAATTTTCTGCATAAAATGTACAAAGTYCCATTTTCTGAACACAAGGGAAATCAAACAGGAGACTGCTCGGTGCTCAGGGATCCAAGCCCTTATTTTTCCAGCCGGTGCTTAGCTCTCACCTTTTCTCAGGATTATGCTGCTCTGAGCTTCACTCTCTGGGGCTTTTCCTGCCTTTTCTGCCTCAGTTCGGCTGCTCGTGGCCGCTCCTGCTTCTGGTGCTGGGCTGGTGCTCCCAGGAGTGGGAATCTGCAGCCCGGGACGTCTCTGGTCGCTCTCCCGGCTCTGGTCGCTCTCCTTGCCCGCCCCGTCCAGCCGCTCTCCTCCTTCATGTCCCTGCTGCTGCCATCGCTTCTGCCCCTGCTCCAGGGTCACATTCCCRCTCGCTCTACGTGATAGTCTGCAAGCAGTGCAAAAATTGCTGATGGAGCAAGGAATGCAGTGGATTTGGATAAAGTGGTCAAATGCCATCCATTCTGCTTGAACACTCCTTCTTTAATCTTTAAAAAGAAGAAAACCGATGCCCAAATCAGGATATAAAATTGTAGAAAAATGATGGAGAGTTTGTTTGTTCAGCATAGAATACATTTGAAATCAATAATGTCTAAATGACAAAGAATGAGGAGCTTAGGACCACTGAGCTTAATACCTCTGATGCTAACAAGAAGCTTTGGCAATCTTTTCTTTCTTTGCTGTATTCTGTTTTGTTTTGCTTTGCCTTCTTGCTTTAAACTGTACAAGATACAACAAGAAGCACAGCTCAAGCTCCAAAGTGTAGATGGATGCATCCAGAGAAAATGCTCAGCATTTTACTGCAGAGAGAAGTGTCCAAAGTGCTCATTATATTCTGTGCTACAAAAGCCAGGTAAAACTTTCCRATGCTTTTTCCTGTGATGGTATCACACTCAAGCACACAAGCAAAAAAACCCAACCACACAGTAGCAGTGAACCTAATTATTATATTCACTCGCTAATATTTCATCAACCTGAATATGCAAAAATAATTACAGGACAAATCTTTCTCCA